ACTGAGCTATCTCCCCAGCCCTCAATAATGATTTTAGATTTGGAAACATAATTGCACATATTTTGGGCTTTTGAGAGAATGCTTCTATGCTGTGCCCTGTGGCAGTGTTGTTTATATATGCTAGATTCCATGTGCTTATCTTCCTGTGGCAGTAGATGTGATAAACGGTGCGTGAGAAGCCACTGAACTGCTTTTTGTATAAAGCAGTGGGGCTAGTTTTGTCCCCCCACACTTAGAAAGGCAGCCTTATGTAAGGATTAGGGAGGGAGCTGGTCTGTGAAGGTATTTGTGGGGGTTGGATGCCAGTGGTTGAGTTCATGGAAAGGTCTAAAGGGCCCAGCAGGTGTGTAGATAACATCAGACTGTGGGGCCCAGTAGTGTCTGGGCTGTCCTGGCCTCATCTTTAATCTTTATGACCTTCTGTGTACTAAGGAAGGTATGGCCCATTAGTGGATTCCTGTTTTTGCTGAGAAGGGCATGTTTGCTGCCAGGATCTTTCCTGGGTTAGGCAAGACAGTAGCTCCCATCAACACTGAGGAAATTGACCCTTTCTGCAGTGAGAAAGTAAGGCTACCTAACTGGGTGAATTACAGAGTAAGCTGTGGTTTGTCAGTACATTTCCTTTGCTGTCTGCACTGATAATTATTTTGAAATCTCTTAACATTTTATTTGCACTGTAGTCTCATAGTTTTTTAAAGTTGAGATTGAATGAATCTTTTTTGTATCAAAGTCAAGCTCCAAACAGTTGATGTTTGAGAAATCTCTGAAGGTTCACTTCCAGTAGTTTCACTTTCATTTCCTAAGTCTGAGTACATTTCCTGTGTTGAATTAGATCACTAGAAAACCAGCCAACTATTAAGTGCTACAAACTATTAATGGCAAACTGCTAACTTCCTCGTTTTTTGATAATGTTCTTTCTTAAATACAATAATCATATTTTGCCAAAATTTAGTGAAGACTAAGTAATCGCAGCACTTGGGAGGCTGAGGCAGGAGGATTGTTCTGAGTTTAAAGTTACCCTGGGCTACACATTGAATTTAAGGTCAGCCTGAGATACAGAATGACACCATGTTTCAAAAAACAGTAACAACGAAACTACCTGGGAAGGATAAAAGATTGTTGTTTGGTGTTTGTGGCTAGTTAAAATACTCAGAGATGATACTCCAAAGTCTGTGGAAAGTTAGTCTTTGGTGCAGCACCTTACAGCTTAATGATTCTTGGTATTGCCTGGCCTACAATATCCTTATATATGGTAGACATTGAAAAAATGCAAGGGGCCAGCCAAATAGCTCAGTGGATTAAAGCACCGTGCCAGCCCTGGCCCCGGGGCACGCTGAGATGGGGATTAGACTGGTTGTGGTGGTACATGCCAGTAATCCCAGCTCTTGGGAGCCTGTAAGCGGGTGGACCACTATGAGTATGATCTATTAGTGAGACCCTGAACACCCTGTAGACCCTTCCCTAAAAAAATACAGAAAAAAAAAAAATGGAGTTGGTTAGTATCAAGAAAAGGCCAATGTCTGTAGTTAAACTTACACTATTAGTGTTTTTTCCACATAAAGTTGATGTAATTCATGTTGTTCTTTTTTTCATTTTTCTGGAAGCACCTTTTTTTTTTTTTTTGGTGAAACCGGGGATTGAACTCAGACCCTTGCACTTGCCAGGGAAGCGCTTATTCTATTGTGCCATCTCCCTGGCCCCAACACCTTTTTTTTTTTTAATTTTATTTATTTGTGTGTGTGTGTGTGTGTGGCCAGCTCAGCCCACCAGGGGGCGGGCTGGCTGGCATGTGGTGCTGGGGATTGAACCGCGGTCCCTGTGCTTTGCTAAGCTCGTTCTAAGTAGGTGCTCGAGACCACTGAGCCATCTCACCAGCCCCGGGTCTTCAACTTTAAAGAGGAAAAGTTTTTTTTCTTCTTAGTTTGTGGAGGCCTCAGCTGGCTCCAGCTCAGGGTGGAATGACAAAAGGGCATTGCAGAGAATAGCTTATGACATGGTCCTGGGAAGTGGACTGTCCTGAGAGGAGAAGAGCCCCTTCAGGCCCCACCCTCAGGGCTCCCCCCAGTGGAGAGTAAGCTCACATCCCCACAACTGGGTCACCACCTCCAACCCCACTAGGAGGGCCTGAGGCCTTGGGGGACACCTCAATAGTATATAAAGTGTAACTGTCAGGTAGCTAAACTATAAGGGGATGGGTTTTCTTTCTTTGTTTCTTTTTTTTTTTGGCAGAACTGGGGATTGAACTGAGGCCCTTCTGCTTGCCAGGCAAGCGCTTATCCTATTGAGCTATCTCCCTGGCCCCTGGGTTTTTTTCTTTTCAAGTGTGTTTTTGTTTTTGCAACAGGGGGTCTCTATGCAATTTCTGCTGGTCTTGAACTCACTTTGTAGCGCAGCTGGTCTCCAACTTGAAACATCTTTCTACCTCAGCCTCCTGAGTGCGGGGATAACAGACTGCTGGGATTGCAGGTGTGAACCACCACACCCAGCCAAGTTTTGTTCTTTGGAGGTGGTTTGTTTAGTCTAGCCTGTACACAGAAGGACTAGGATTCTCTGTCCCCTGCAACAGAGAGAGTATATCATTATTGTTTGAGATTCTTATAGGAAGATGTGTTTATGTCTTGTGTATTCATTTGTGTTAGTATTAATAAGTTTGCCATGTATTTTGGATTCAGATTGTTTCAACTGTAGATATGAGGAGCTTTTTTTTTTTTAAATGTGTTTGGTACAGGGTCTTGCTATGCAGCTTGGACTCATAGTGTTCTTCCCTCCTGTCCCAGCCTCCCCAGCACTGGGTTGCAGCACGCACCACCATGCCCAGTCTCAGTGGCCAGCTCAGCACGCCCTGGGGTGGGGCTGGTGTGGCATGTGGTCCCAAGGATGGAAGCCCTGTGCCTGAGCTTGCCTGAGCAAGCACTTAGTCTGCTGGGCTATCTCACTGGCCTAAGGAGCATTTTGGCTGTTTTTCTTTTTTCTTTCTTTTTGTTATTTTTTGGGGGGGACTGGGGATTGAACTCAGGCCCTTGCACTTGCCAGGCAAGTGCTTATTCTACTGAGCCATCTCCCTGGCCCCTTAGGCTGTTTTTCATTACACTGTCTTTCAGGCTCACACTGCATTTCCTTGGCCCTCATTTACTTCGGCCCTCATTTACTTCGTGTGTTATCAGTAACACATTTGCTTTTCACGTGGCCACGCTACCCTGTTGGCTGATGGGCTTTCTACTAGCTTTCATTCATGCATTCAGTTACAGGGAAAAAAAATAGTGTCCTATATGTATTATATCACTTTAGAGACCTCTTTGAATTCTGGCTTCCATCCTAGTTTCTAATCCTCTGTTTAATGTCATTTATAGTTCTGATAAACCCACTGTGTGTGTGTATGTGTGTGTGTATGATACGTATGTATGTATAATATGTGTGTAGATATTATACATGTATAGTACGTATATTTAAACATTGACAGATTGGTTCTTTTTTCTTTTTTTTAATTTTATTTATTTATGTGTGTGTGTGTTAATTTTATGTGTGTGTGTGTATGTGTGTGTGTGGCCAGCTCAGCCCACCAGGGGGTGCGGCTGGCTGGCATGTGGGGCTGGGGGATTGAACTGTGGTCCCTGTGCTTTGCTAAGCTTGTTCTAAGTAGGTGCTGTAGACCACTGAGCCATCTCACCAGCCCCTACAGATTGGTTCTTGAGATGATTTCTTTCCTAGTACCATCTTGCTATTTATTCTTTTTTTTTTTTTTAATCTTTATTTATTTGGTACAGGGCTTTTCTACACAGTTTGGACTCATAGTGATCCTCCTGTCTCAGCCTCCCCAGCGCTGGGATTACAGGCATGCACCACCATACCTGTTTTTGGTGGCCAGCATGCATGCTGTACCAGGGATCAAACGTGGGTCCTTTCCCTTGCCAGGCAGGTGCTTAGACCACTGAGCTATCCCCCCATCCCCTATTTTGTTCTTTTTCATAGTGTTAAGAGTATAGATTATTTTAACCCTTTAACTTTTGAGTTTTTATCATGGATGTTTTGATGGTTAAAAAAAAGTTGAAGGGAGTAAGAAAACCACTTTACTAGTAGTGAATTGTTAACATTATAGCTATAGATTTATAGTGTATTAAAGAGTGATGATTTATGAGCATCAATTTGTATATATGTATGTATGTATGTGGTCATATACCCACACAAAATTTATGTGCATGTGTTTTCTAAATGAGAAGATTCATCTGGCTTTATTTTGTTTGGAGACAGGGTTTGGCTATATAGTGCGGGCTGACCTCAAACTCATGCTGATCTTCCTACCTCAGCCTCCCGAATATTGGGATTACAGGCTTGTACCACACTCCTGAGCTGTTTCTTGGTGGTGGCGGCAGCAGCATACAGGCCCTCCCTGTGTAGTGCAGAATGGCCTTGAACTCATTATGTAATCTGGGTTGGCTTTGAACTCCTAGAAATCCTCCTGCCTCAGTTTCCTAGGACTACAGGCGTGTGGCACCATGCCCAACTTCTGTTTTTGTTATATGTTTACAGAGTTTGGGAACACGGCTTCTAGGAAGATGAAAGATTTTTTGAGCTTTTGATTCTGCCGCCAATAAATTATTAAGATATTCTAAAAATCTGTACTTTGAAAACTGATAAGCCTGTGTCTGTGTGTCTGTCTGTCTGTCTTTCTTTCTTTCTTTCTTTCTTTCTTTCTTTCTTTCTTTCTTTCTTTTTTTCTTTTTTTGGTGGAACCAGGAGTTGAACTCAGGCCCTTGTGCTTGCCAAGCAAGCGCTTATTCTACTGAGCCATCTTTCCGTCCCCTTGTATTTCTCATCACTACATTTTTTTTTCCTCCCAGTACTGATTGGGCTTGAACTTGGGCCCTTGCGCGGAGCTACTTCTCCAGCCCTTTTAAATTTTTTTTAAAAATTTTTTTTTTTTGGCGGAACCAGGGATTGAACTCAGACCCTTGCGCTTGCCAGGGAAGCGCTTATTCCACTGAGCCATCTCCCCGGCCCCTTAAAATTTTGAAATAGGATCTTACTAAATTGCCCATGCTCAGCTTGAATTTATAATCCTCCTCCCTTAACACTCCCTTAAAGTTCTGAGGTTGCAGGCATGTACTACTCTGCCATGTCTCTGCATTATCTTTAACCTTTTCTGTAACACAGCTATATATTGGTTAATATTATGTATTATGAACAGTGGACTTTGAGCGGGGGGTTGTGCTAGGGATTGACTCTAGAACCTTATAATGCTAGTATAGCGCACTTTTTTTTTTTTAATTTTATTTATAATGCTTTTTTTTTGGCAGAACCGGGGATTGAACTCAGGTCCTTGAGCTTGCCAGGGAAGCGCTTATTCTGAGCCATCTCCCCTGCTCTAGCACTCTTTGTTTTAAAAAAAAAAAAAAACAAAACTATGTATTTGGCACAGGGTCTCACTATGCAGGGAGCTCAGACTCGTAGTGATCCTCCTGTTTTCAGCCTCTCTGGCGCGCGCTGGGATTACAGGTGTGCACCACCGTGCCGGGTCTCGGTGGCTGGCTCAGCATGCCTGGCGGCGGGGCTGGCGAGGCGTGTGGTGCTGGGGATCAAACTCCGGTCCCTGCATTTGCCTAAGCAGGCGCTTAGTCTGCTGAGCTATCTCGCTGGCCCTAGGCTAGCACTCTTAGCACTGAGCTACGTCTTCTGCCCTGCAGTTAGTTAGTTCCATGCTTAATAGAACGCCTCGAAGAACACCGTGGCAATGGAGGCACATTGAAGTTGAACGCCCTGGTTCTCAAGTAGAAAGTGTACTCATGCTTGGCACAGAAAAGAGGTGTGACGTATTACTGTCCTAAGGTATTATGTGTCCTTTCTGGATACAGGTGCAGGATGAGCACGTGCTGTTGGTGTACACCGGGCGGTGTGGCCACCGCCGATTTCTTGAAGTGCTATGCGTCTAAGAGCAAGTCCCGTGAGTTCCAGACAGCTGATGAAGACCTCTGCTACTGCTTGGAGTGTGTGGCTGAGTACCACAGAGCAAGGGATGAGCTGCCGTTCCTGCACGAGGTAAGTTACAGTAAATGGGCCTTAATTTTCAACTTTGTAAGTAGGAAAAAATGAAGGTGGATTCTGTCAGGAGTGTTCATGGGAGTGATGTGGTTTAAGTTTTGAAAACTAATCATATGGTATGTAGGTATTGAGAAACTTCGATGTTATACTTTCGTAATTTTTTTTTTTAAAGCCAAAAGAATAAACTTCAAAACAAGATTAATAATGTCAGCCAAATAGTTCAGTGGATTAAAGCGCCTGCAAGCAGGCCCCAGTCTGCTCTGCTGGCTCCACCCCCAGGGCACGCTGAGATGGCAGTTGAGACTGGGCGTGGTGGCACACGCCTGTAATCCCAGCTCTTGGGAGGCTGTAAACAGGAGAATCACTACGAGTCCGATCTAGTAGTGAGACCCTGAACACCCTGTTGACCCTTCCCTAAAATACAAACAAAATAAGATAATAAAGGGTAACAATAGTGTTAATACATTGGGTGTTGTTATCTTTAAATTAGTTACCCAGAGTACAAGATACAGGTATTTAATTGTCCAAACAATGCTAGCACAAACCTTTGGTTTCTTTTTTTTTGTATTTTAGCACAGGGTCTCACTGTTGTACATCGGACTCGTAGTGATCCTCCTGTGTCCAGCCTCCCAAGCACTGGGGGTACAGGTGTGCGCCACCATGTCCAGTCTCAGTCGCAACTCAGCGCGCCCCCAGGGGCGGGGCTGGCATGGATCAAACCCAGCCACTGCGTTCTGCCTAAGCAGGTGCTTTAATCCACTGAACTATCAGGCCGGCCCTACAAAACTTTTCAATGAACTAAGAGAAGTCAGTAGTATGACTGTCTTAGCTGTCTTTTGCATGTATACATACGTATTTATTTCTTCACTCTTCCCTTCCTTTTCACCATCCCCCATCCCAATTTCGCTTCCCTTTTGAATTTTCTTCCCATTTTATAATATTTGTTGTACACTTTGGTTCCTACTTTCTCTTTCAGCTTCTCACACTAGGGAGACAATATGATGTTTACACATGTGCATCTGGTCTTTTACATCCTTCGTTAGATTGATTCCTAAGCATCTCATTTTTTGTTGCTCTTGTGGAAGGTGTTGTTTCTCTAATTTCTTTTTCAGTGAGTTTATCAACCATGTATAGGAAGACTTGATTTTTGAGTATTGACTTTGTATTCAGCTATGCTACTAAATTTTCTTTTTTTAAAAAAGTCTTCTATTTATTTGTTTTAGGGTCTTGCTACACAGCTCAGACTTGTAGTGATCTTCCTGTCAGCCTCCCCAGTGCAGGAGGCATGCGCCACCATGCTCAGTTTCAGTGGCTGGCCTGCTTGGGGGCAGCATGGCATCAAACCTGCATCCTTGGCTTGCCAGGCAGGCACCTAGACCACTGAGCTATCTCCCCAGACCCTGAATTAGCTTATTAAATCTAGCAGGGTTTGTTTTTTTTTTTTTGTGGAACCAGGGATTGAACTTAGGCCCTTGCACTTGCCAGGGAAGCACTTATTCCACTGAGCTCTCTCCCTGGCCCTGCTGTGAATACTTTCAATGGAGTTTTTATTCTCTTGGTTATTTGCTTGAATCTGTCTGTCTTATGGATTCTGTTTCTTTTCTATGCTGAGTATTCATGGCTTCTATAATTTTATTTAAGCTCCTTTTTTGTCTGTACGTGTTCTAGAGTCACTAAGCATGGTTTTCATTGTAGACACCATCTCTGTAGTTACCTGAGAAATTATTTCTAATTTGGTTTTTTTCTAGAGTCTCATTCAATTGCTTTGTTGTTCCCACTTTAGAGGGGCCATGTGGGTGGCTGTTATATTACCCCCCCTCGTTGCTCCCTGGGTGTTTGCCTTTGGTGAGCTGGATGTCTGCAGCTGTACCTTAAGGGTCTTCTCAATGTCTTTTCTTCTTTGTTTCCTCTTTCTTCTTCTTCTTTCTTCGTGTTTTGGTGGTACTGGGGATTGAACTCAGGACCTTGTGCTTGCCAGGCAGACACTTACGCCAGTGAGTTATATCCCCAGCCCTCTTTTTTTTTTTTTTTTACGGTACTGGTAATTGAGCTCAGGATCTTGCACTTGCCAGGCCCCTCTTTTTTTTTTTTTTTTTAGTTTAATTCCTCGGGTGATGCTTGTAAATTGCCTGTTGTTGGTTGCTTTATTGCTAGCACTTAGAACCTTTAGAAAATGACTGCTTCTCTGAGGCATCTTTCAAATGTAGCTGGTTTTTAAAATTTATTTATTTATTTATGTGTGTGTGTGTGTGTGTGTGTGTGTGGCCAGCTCAGCCCACTAGGGGGCGGGCTGGCTGGCATGTGGTGCTGGGGATTGAACCGCGGTCCCTTATGCTTTGCTGAGCTTGTTCTAAATAGGTGCTTTAGACCACTGAGCCATCTCACCAGCCCCTGTAGCTGGTTTTAAGAGTCTTGAGTCTGTTGCAAGGTCCTACATCTTCAATTTTTGGGGATGAGAAGTTATTGCCAGTTACCTTGGTTCTTTGGCACTGTACCATAGTATTACCTCTGACCAGTATATCATTCTTGAAATACCAGGAAGAACAGATGGTTAGAACAATTGTGTTGCTTTTGGCTGTAGTGGTACCATCTGAAATAACAACGGCCTCCAACACAACCTAGAAAATGACTAACTGAGCTAACCATTATAGGCCACCTTTAACCGTATGAACTAGATTTTTGGTTGTAGAAGAAAATCTAAAACCAGAAAATTATATGCAGCATATAAATTCTTAATGTATCAAGTTTTGCCCTCAGGGATTAAAATTTAAAATGATTTCAGAGAGAAAATAAGAGAAGTGGAAGAAGAGGAAGTGAGTAGAAATAAGGCGGGAAGACAAAGGACATCACGCTAACTTGGGAAACTAGTGCAGAAGACTGGAGGGAAAGAGAAGGAAGAGAAAAGGAACAGAACAGAGTCACAGAGAGGCTAGACACCATGTTCACATTCATTTAAAAACGATCAAACAGTGAAGGACAAGACAAAAAACCACAACAGTGAAAAACAGAAAAAAAAAGATCCACTTGAGGTTTGTCTCTGTTGTCACTGGTAGACAGCATGTGAAGACAGAGTCCTGATCCCACAACTCTTACCTCAGCAAGCCAGCAGTAGCTTCTTGGTAGGGTAGTGGAAAATCTCGGTGAGCCTGTACCTTCATTCGGCCTGCAGCCTCAGTGTACCTTCCGTGGGCCTGGGCCCCGCTGCAAGGCTCTAGGTGGAGCCTGCAGCTGCTCTTGACTTCTGAGCTCAGCTGCACCTCTTCAGGATGGCTCCCGGCCAGTCATGTCCCCTGCACAGGGTGACAGTCCTCAGCACTCGCCACCAGCTAGTGTGTCCTTTTTGTCCCCTGCTCCCCTCCAGTACTGCCCTGTGCACAGAGGCCTTTGGGTCCCCAGCAGTCACCCTGTGTCTGCAGGTTTGAACCACTCCTGTGGCGTAGCTAGTCTAATCTTAAGGGAGCACGCCACCTGCGGCCTCCTCCTCTGTTGATGCTTGTCTCTCTGCTCGCTCTCCGTGAGCTTCAGTTTGCACTTCAGATCCTTCCTTGGTCCAGGGGCCCCACTTCCCTCCGCTTCATCTTGGTCATGTTGCTGCATCGCAGCGTCTGCGTGGCATCTCTGAGAGGCTGCTTCTCTGTGTGCTCTCTTCTCTCTGCTGTCGTGGTCCTGCCCCCAGCTTTCCTAGTTATAAAGTCACCTTTCTAGAGCTCATATTCTCAGGTACTGGGAGCGCCCATGGATGGTACAGGGAGGAGACGGCGTGGGCTAGAGGGCCTGGCTCAGGCTTCTGACTAAGAAGCTCCAACCTTTCATTCTTTCCTTTTGAATTACTCCATGAAGATTTTGAGATCTTTGTAGGAAAGCTGCGCAAGAAGTGATTAAGCTTGTGATACTCTGTGGTCATATCCTAATTAAGTGGCCATGTTTAGAAACCATTTTCTTCAAACCTCCTATAGCCTTACTTTGTTTTCCTCTTTGGTCTTCTGCTTCATAGAGGTGTTGTTTTGCAAATTGAAGGTCTATGGCAAGCCTGCTTTGAGCAGCTCTTTCTAGTAATGTGTACTCATTTTTTGTTACTGTGTCACATTTTGGTGACCTCACATTTTCCAACTTTTTAATTTTATCTTCTATGGTTATCTGTGATTAGTGATTTTTTTTTTTTAATGTATTTAGTACAGGGTCTGCAGGTCTCGCCTTGTAGATTGGACTTGTAGTGATCCTCATGTTTTCATCCCTCCAAGCACTGGGATTACAGGCACGCCACCACGCCCAGTCTGAATCACTGTCTGCATGCCCTGGGGGTGGGGACCCCAAGGCTTGCTGGGGATGGAACCCCAGTCCCTGTGTCTGCCTAAGCAGGCACTTTAATATGCTGAGCTATCTGGTCAGCCTTGATTAGTGATTTTTGATGTTTGCTCTTAGAATTGTTTTGGAGCACTGGTAAACCAAGTATATGTAGTAAGATGAACAAACGTGTGTGTTGGAGGTCCTTGCTGGCTAGCCGTTGTCCACCTCTTTCCCTTTCCTAGGGCACACAGTCGTATATATTAGAATTAGGCCAGATGAAAGTCCTGTGGTGGCCTTCAATGTTGAGGCGAAAGGCAGAGTCACACAATTTTCACTTTGTCAAATGTTAGTAATGCTCAAATTTAGTGAGGATGGCATGTGGAAAGCCAGAGCGCACTGAAAGGGAGGCCTCTTGCGCCAAGCACACAACTTGGTTTTTGAGGCAGGGTCTCACTTTGTAGTTCAGTTTGGCATTGAACTCAGTATGTAGCCCGGGATGGCCTTTAACTCGTGGCAATTTGCCTGCCTCAGCCTCCATGTGCTGAGATTACAGGTATGTGTCACCAAACCCAGCCATACAGTCAAATTTGAATGCAAAGAAAATATTCTTGAAATTAAATGTACTGTTGCAATGAACATATAAATATGAAAGAAAACAACGTTGTTGTTGATAGAGGTTCAGTTTTAGTGGTCAACATAGAAGTTCAAACCAGCCACAGAATACACTTGAAAAGGGCTGGCCAAATAGCTCAGTGGATTAAAGCACCTGCTTAGGTGGACAAAGGGGCCAAGTGTTTGATCCCTGGGACTGCTGCTCAGCGTACCCTGGGGTGGGGCCCAATGCCAGCCCCACCCCAGGGTACGCTGAGACAGTGATTGAGACTGGACGTAGTGGCATGCCCCTGTAATCCCAGCTCTTGGGAGGCTGGAAACAAGTCAGATCTGTGTAGTGAGACCCTGTAGATCCTGTACTAAAGACAAAAAAAAAAAAAGAATGCTCTTGAAAGCCTAACTCTGTTTAATTCTTTGATGGATTAAAGTTTGAAGCCAGGGCTGGTGAGATGGCTCAGTGGTCTAAAGCACCTACTTAGAACAAGCTTAGCGAAGCCCAGGGACCGCGGTTCAATCCCCAGCACCACATGCCAGCCAGCCCCGCCCCCTGGTGGGCTGAGCTGGCCACACACACACACACACACACACACACACACACACACATACACTAAATAAAGTTTGAAGCCAGCAAAGGCTGGCACATGATGCACAGGGAAACAAGCCATCTCCATAATGTGAAACGCCCACGATGGAGGAGCAAGTGCTGATGGAGAAGCTGCAGCAAACAAATGGAAATCAGGTTGGTGGATATAGTTGCTACACAAAACAACATGTATTCTGTGTAGAAAACCTTAATATTGGAAGACGGTGTGACCTAGGACTGTGATAACTGAAGAGAAGTCAGAGCCTGTCTTTACAGTTTCATAAGATGGGCTGATTCTCTTGTGAGGGTTTAGTGTACCTGGGGACTTGAAGTCAGTGCTCACGTACCATTCGAAAACCATTAGGAGGCTGGGAAGATTGCTTAGCAGGCTGAGCCTCCGGTACCTTATGTCGTGCCAGCCCTGGAACCTTGGGTACACTGAGCCAGCCACTGAAACCAGGCATGGTGGCACATGCCTGTAATCCAGTGCTGGGGAGACTGAAAACAGGAGGATCGCTACAAGTCCAAGCTGTGTAGTGAGACGGTGTACCAAATAAATAAAGATAAAATAAAGTGAGGGTCCTGAAAAATTACACTGTTTCATCTGCTGTGCCTTTTAAATAGAACAACAAAGCCTGGATAATAGTAATAGATGTTTGTTTATAATGTTTAGTCAATATTTGAAGCCCACAGTTGAGACTGCTCAGTAAAAAGAGCTTCTTTCAATAAAGTACCGCTGATAAAGCACCTGGTGGCTCAAGAGCTTTTTTTCTGCCGGGGCTAACGCAGTACATGCTAGGGTTTGAACCACGGTCCCTGCACCTGCCTAAGCTTACCTAAACGGGTGCTTTAGACTGCTGAGCTATCTTGACAGCCTCAAGAACTTTGAAACACTTCGTGAGATTGTCTTTGTGCCTGCTGCACACCATCTGTTCTGCAGCCTGTGGATCAGGTCTTCTTAAGAAATGTGTTTCTTACGGCTGATACTTAGTCATTCAAAGATCTGGGGAAAGAAAATTGAAAACCTCGGAGCAGACTTGTCCCTCTAGATGCAGTTAAGAACATTCATGATTCAGGGGATGAGCATGATGATCCGTTTGCACTAGCGAGGGCTTGGGAGACGCTGATTCCAGCCCTTGTGCATAGACTCGGAGGGCTTCAAGTCTTCATGGTGAAGTTATGCTGGGGGGACGTGGAGCAGCACTTGCTTGGCCAGTGGAGCCTGAGGATATGAGCGCATTGGTGCAGTTTCCGGATGAGACGCCAGTGGGTGGAGACTGCTTCTTGTAGCTGAGTGGTTTGAGATGCAATATAGTTCTAGTGAAGGTGCCGTGGATATTAGGAAGTGAAAACAAGGCCGTAGACTGTGCAGAAACTGTGTTGGGACGACAGCAGGCTTTGATGGGATTGACTCCAGTTTTGAAAAGTTTTGTGAGTAAAATGCTATCAAATAGAATCAGGCTGCAGAGAACTTGCAGGATTCAGTCAGTCATACAGCCAACTTGATTGCTGAGAAGATGCCATAACTACCCTAACCTCAAGCAACTGCAGCCTCGACTGGTCAGCAGGCAGCAACCCCGAGGCTGGATTCCTTACCGGAGGTCCAATTGTGGTCATTTTTTGTTTTTTTTTAAATTTTTATTTATTTAAAAAAAAATTTTTTTTTGGCAGAACCGGGAATTGAACTCAGGCCCTTGCACTTGCCAGGGAAGAGCTTATTCCACTGATTCAGGCCACCTATTTT